TCTCTCATCATTGATGTTTCTCTCTCTCCCTCTCCCTTCTTCTCTCTGAAATTAATAAAAAATACTATTGAGTTTTGTTCTGTTAAGGTTATAGCATTGGCCTGAGGACTAATGGGTCCCAGGTTCAGTCAAGGGCACGTACCTTGGTTGCAGGATGGATTCCCGCCCGGGTCGAGACACCGTGTGGGAGCCAACCAATCAATATGTCTCTCTCACCTCAGTGTTCCTCTCTCTATCTTCCCCCCGTTTCCACTCTAAAAATCAATGGAAGAAATATCCCCGGATGAGGATTACCAACAACAAAAAATGGTTAAGATGGCAAATTTTATCACACACACACAAAAAGCTTTCCGTAACTTTTTGTCTGAAAGTTTTATCAGGAATAGATGGTTACTTTTTGGTTATTCTTTTGACCGGCTGTGGTGTATTTCATTAGTAGTCACTCCAAGGTCAAACCATCCTTGCCTTCATAAAAGAACTCTTCCCTGGTCACATGAATTAAGGGGTCACTTCCCTGGCGCTTGGGGCTCCTACAATCAAGTGGCATCTTGTAACAAGCCTCTTTTTGGGTAGATAGACTATTCCCTAAAGTAAATGGCAGCCGGTGAGCTTTAAATATGAAGAGGGCAGATACAACATGGTTAAATAGAGCAGTCTGAATGTAGGCACCGATATTATACTTGAAATGGAAGCATATGATTGGCTCTTGGCTAATTTTTTTTCCTAATGGTGGGTTTTAGTACCTGGGCAACCTAGTCCCTAAATGCTTGGCCGCTCAGCACGAGTCATAAAGGAGGCCCTGAAGGCCAGCCTGCTTGGGATAGCCTGAGGGCATTAGGCTAGGCCCGTGGTCGGCAAACTGTGGCTCACGAGCCACATGCGGCTCTTTGGCCCCTTGAGTGTGGCTTTTCCTAAGCCCTAGGAGTACCCTAATTAAGTTAATAACAATGTACCTACCTATATAGTTTAAGTTTAAAAAATTTGGCTCTCAAAAGAAATTTCAATCGTTGTACTGTTGATATTTGGCTCTGTTGACTAATGAGTTTGCCAACCACTGGGCTAGACCCTTGTAAGATTTCTCCCCTAATAGATAGAGAAGAATTCATTTTTTTCCTGGGTCCCTCGTGTAGGCAGAAGGACGGTAACATGTCCCCCAAGTCTCCCAGTATCCCCCTCGGAGAGGGAAGGAACTGTACCACCCATGACCCCTATCTTCCCTCCCACTGGGAAGGACAAGAGGTCTTAGCTTATGTTTTACCCATGGTTGTTGAATCTTTTGTTTCCAAGTAAAGGTCCATTGGTTTAGCGAAAAGAAGAAAAAAAAATTAGGCTTCTAGAATTACACCTCACACTGAAAAGTTGATCCTTTCGTAGACTAACACATCATGGTCTAATTTTATACAATAGTGATTTGTTTGGGAAATTATGTCATTCACCAGTGACTTGTAGATTTGCGTGGGAAGGTCTTTCTCAGGTTGTAGCGCCACAGTCACTCTGCTCTGAGACAATACAGAAGGCACAGGAATGCTCATTCCAACCATGTCAGTTCTGATACTCAAATCAGAAAATGAGCTTTATGTGAGAAAAGTCGTATTACAGGTCCGCTTTGACGATGGCTTTCTTATCCTGACTGAAAAGAAGGAACGCTTGAGCTTGAAGAAATGGTCGCCAAGGTTCACCGCTGCCTTTTCAAGTGTGTGACATCTCAAATCCTCTAAAGGTTTTAAAAAGGCCTCTTAAAAAAGAGTGGTTTCAGAGCCATTTCTGGGTCACAGACACTTTTGAGGATAAAAGATATAGATCCTTCCCCCAGAGAAAAATGATGAGAGAGAAACATCATCATCAACAGGCTGCCTCCTACACTCTGTCTTCTGAGGATGGAGCCCACATGCACATGCACAGAAAAGTTTCTGTGTGATTTCACAGAGTTCCTGAATTCCTTGAAGCCTGGTGGTGAACCTGTCGGATCCCATCCTGTACAGACCCTACCTGAAGACCCCTTAGTGCTGCTTTGTTCTAAAGCCACTCAGAGCTGATCGCTTCCTGCAGTCTCCACCGCCCCTTGCCATTGGGACCCTGAAGACCAAAACCACCCAGGACTGAGCACTAAATGCACTTCCTTTTTTGTTGTTACTCCTCACCTGAGGATATTTTTCCATTGATTTTTAGAGAGAGTGGAAAGGAGGGGGGAGAGACAGAAAGAGAGAAACATCCAGGCGAGAGAGACACATCGATCGGTTACTTCCTGCACGCGCCTTGACCAGGGCCAGGGATGGAGCCTGCAACGGAGGTACATGCCCTTGACCGGAATCGAACCCTTCAGTCCGTGGGCCTACGTTCTACCCACTGAGCCAAACCGGCTAGGGCTAAATGCACTTGCTTTTAAGGGTCTGAAGAAATGAGTTTATACGTTCCCTTGGCACAATATTAGAGCATTTCATCGAAGTCAGGAGCAATCGTGCCTCCTCATGATCTTAAAGTCCCTACTTGGAAGGAAACACGTTAGTGTAGGAAGAAAACAGAATTTAGGGGGCTTGGGTGCACATCTTAGCCCTGACGTCTTATTAGATGTCAGTGGGTGACATGGCACCGGCCGTGGGCGGGTTGCGCCTTCTCACCTGGCGCAGTCACCTCCACATCCCAGGATGAGCGTGGGCTTTAAATGAGGTGATGCGTGTGGAGACGCTCTGAAAACTAAAGCAACATACACATGGGGCTCATTATTAATATCTGAATCAAATTTATGCTTATTTTCCTCTTTTCTTGTCAGCATCCTTTTCAAAAAGCATTTTCCTGTCAGCTCTATTTTAAAGTTAATCCATCAACTGTATATAGTTAGTAGGCGGTACGTAAAGCTCCAAAAATGGAGATGTCCTCCTGCAAAAAGTAGTCTTTTCACCGTAAGCACAACACATACATATTTTTTGTAGTCTGTTTGCCTTTTTCTTCTTCTTCTTTCTCTCTCCCTCTCAGTTTGGATTTCCAGATTTTAAAAGGGCATCTGGAGTTTTTTTTTTTTAAAAAACAGACTCTATGGATTTTACTTTTGTCTCTACTTAAGAGAACTCTGACACCACATGTGATTCTGACAGGAATTCCTACTTTGTTTCTTCACCTTCTGGCTTGGATGACTGACGCATGAAATGCAGTCCAGTCATTAGGAAAGCGGTG